TCATTAATTTTTAATTAAGGATTTTCGTGGAGAAAAACTCGAAAGCAGATGAGGATCGTACGGCGAGGAAGGCAGAAATTGGAAAGATCGGGATTTGTTCTCAAAATTTCGGCGGAGTCGAGGAAAAATTGGCAAAGTGACACGAGGGATCGGTGCAAAACAACCTAATTGGCCACACTTTGCACAAGTTCTTTTTGAATGTAAGCTTTTCATTTCCCTCTCGGGATTTTGGCCCGACGACTGCGGCGTTAAAAACTACAAGCAACAAACGTTTTTCTCGTGTTCCATCTCAATCTCCGTAGTTCCTCAAATATATAGCAAAGTTTATAATTAGTCATAAAGATTGGAGATACGTACATGCAGTGTGGAACCTTTCGCTTCCTTAGTCTCTCAAATAATCTGCGGTAGTTCGAATATCCTGCACACGCTCCAGAAGGTGCTGGACAGCGTGGGTGTGGGAGGGTTAAGAGCATATCATAGAGAATTTTCTTGGCTTTTGAATGAATAAACTGGATTGTAATCTGATAACTCAGTCATGAGTTATCAAAGATCGAAAGGTGGGCACAACTTTCGACTCACCCTGTATAATGACCTAAGGAATAACAATCAGAATCTCTGGCTGTTATACCATAGGCCATAATGCAGCACTTCTGACCAAGAAGTATATTATTATGCATCTCATCCCAGCAACAGGTGGAACTGAACATCAAAGAAAAATATAATGCCACCACCTAACAACTCTGACATGGCCAGGAAAGCTCGGGGACGTCCTAGGGTAATTTGTGTATTTAGCTCCTTTTTTTTATCATGCATCCTCAAGATATTTAGAAAAAATGCTTCGTCTCTATTGATGATCCTAGAAATGGAAAAATATCCCAACCAAAGGTAAATTATACCTTGGTTGTTGGAAAGTAGGTGGCTTCCCCATGAGCGCGTCATGGAAGCCATGTTAATCAGCCCACGGCCATTTAGTCCTCTGGATGTACTACAGAAATACTAGTAGATGAATAGAAGAGGCCTAGGTGAGCTTTTACAGAAGTGGGTATATCGCCAAATTATCCAACCGTGCCAAGCTAAAGTTTATTTGTCCGCAAGTGGGGATACCAGTGTCGATTGTGCAGAACTACGAGAGAGAGGACGGTGGACTTTCAGGCGCCTTGCACGCGCCTTCACGCTCTCGCTCTCACACGTCTTCACCTACCTTACCAGTGAGTGTCGAGATCGAGGAGGGCTTGTATATATGCGTCCGGGTAAGACATCTCCAAATCCCAACAAATCGATCGGAGACTGTTAACCACCGTTTCATTCTAGACTCATCTCGTGAACTCGGTACAAAAATGTCCCATACACTAAAAAGCAAGATCCAGACACCGATACGAAGTCCGAAGCAGTTATGATTCTGGCATAAACTCCAGCATGATATCCGGCAACACTGGAGTACGAAACCGGAGCCATCACGTTAAGCCGAAATGAACTACAGATAATTTCATTTTTTAAGGCGAAATGATGCATTGCATACAACAAAAAGGTCACTTATCATAATCTAATAGTCAATACCTTCCCTTTGGTTGGTCTCTTTCCTCCGAAAATCTCCCAGGAGTGATCATCCGGGGGGGGATTTGCACCTTGCAAAAAACGAGATACAGTGTTCCCCACAACCCCGGGGAGATGGAGCTTCGAATTTGCTGGAGCAATTCTGTGTTAAGAAGGTAGGAAGCATGCTCAATTTTGTACCTGTTGATGCTATCAGAGAGGAATTCGAGGGGATTGAAATTTTTTATGGGATGGGGTTGAATAAAGGTAATTGGCGCTACAAAAACCCATTCACTGTAAAGCGGTAAAAAGGTAAAACGGCAGTAAGGTAAAACGGTAAAAAAAATATTTTTGGCAACTTGAAAGCCACATATTAATCTGAGTTGAATGGGTAGAACGCCACCACCAAAAATTTCACGCTTCGTTTAGAATTGGAAATGTGCCAAGTACTTAGTACGTAGTACACATGAGTAAGTGTATGCATTGGATGGAAGGAAGGCCTCGTCCATCCGGAGATGGAAGGAAATAATACGAGAGAGAAAAAAGAAGGAAAGGGTTATGAGCGAGGATCCTTCGTCCATATAATGAAGGGGGAGATAAGAGAATTCCATTGGGTCATTGGGATGCAGGTCCTCCCCGCTTCTTCCATCTTCTTCGCCTCCTCGTCTTCGCCGTCTTCATCCTCTTCATCGAGATCGTCCGATAAGCTCATGAAGGAATGCACTTCATAACGCGGTGTGCGAGGGACATCCGGGGGATAACCGAATGAGTACCCTTTGACCCGGATCAAATTGATTCCCTTCCAGAGAATTTCATTAATTTCCACGCGATTTCCCGGGCGAGGCAGGAATTTATTATTATTATAAATGAGTGCGATTAATGAGTGCTGGAATCGTGGAGAGCTTCGGACAGGCCAGGCAGGGATTCGGCTTGATTCGCTCATCTTACTCAGAGTATTCTTCCTTATGCCCAACAACCAACTCCTCTTTCGTATTTTCCCCCCGCAATTTCCATCTGTTTTTATGTTCTCACCCTCTTGTACAAAAAAGGTGCTAAAAGGGGGAAAAGGGAGAAAAGGGAAAAGCGCGAAAAAAAGGATTCAAACCAATATGAAATCTCTGGAACCTACTTTTTTTCTGAGAATGCAACCTGTTTCTACCTTGGATCGCTTCGCTTTGCTTCGAGGTCACATCCCTCCCTCCTTCTTTCTCCCCCCTCCATCCATCCCTCCCTTTGTTCCATCTATTCACTTTCACTTAGTCCATAGACGAGGCGGAGCCTGCTCTCATTCCTTCGCCTCCTTTGGTTCTTGTTCGCGGTGCAGAGGCATAGTGTTCCCAGAAAACCGTCTTCCTGGGAACGAGGCTTCCTCCTTTCCTCTTATTTTTTCTACGATGAAGAAACGCCCGCTATGAATGATGATGCAGTTTCGTCTCAAATTCAATATTAAGTTCCTTATTTGATACATAAACGGGAAGGGAAAAGAGGAACGTGGAAGTAGAAATTTGATATACAGGGTGTGCCAAAAAAGTATCTGAAACGTAATTCAGTACTTTGGGCACGTTAATGGTATTGAAACGATTCAATTAACACGATTAGTTATTAATGTCAGGTAAGTAAATGTCAGTCCCATCAAAAATGCACACGGCAGATATGCTTTAGTTCACCTCATCTTGAAACAGAGAAAATTAAAATCTAATTAATTTCAGTTACATTTTTTTGGCACACCCTGTACATTTGAAAGTTAAAGAAAATGAAGAAGTATTTTTTAAATCGTGTTAACAAATTTTTTGTAGACATATTTCCCAGAATGATGCTGGATTTCTTCCGTATTGCCCTCCTTCGGTTTTGGTTCGATCATGGTTTCACACATTTTCCCCTTTATTCCTATCGACGGTTAAGACTGCGGTTAGCTCTAGGGCTCTGTCGGTTTTAGTGTCGGTATTAGAGAAATAATTTTTTTAGTCGATAGAGGTGTGGCTCGATTAGATCTCATCGAGCGGCGTTCAGATGCCCCATTAAATTTTCAGGAAATCACCTAATTTTGGCGATGGAAGGCCGGAAATTGGCACGGGCCGATCGAAGGCAATCGAGGGCAATCGAGTGCCCCACCCTTTTCGCTCTTTTCGTCGTCGAAGCGGTTGGCATCAGGTCCATTCGGTTGGCATCTGCACGACCTCCCAACATTTCTGCACGACCAGCCAAAATTTGTGCCAGAAAATGGTGGAAACAGCCGTGAAACCCCTGCAAGGCGGAGACGATACCACAAGTAAGTTCGCACATTTCAAATCAGATTTTAAAGCAGATTTTCCATGCGGACTCCATGAAACCCGGACGCGATTCGCGCCGTTTCTCCACGAGCATGCATATTCATGAGCACTTCCATGTTTTTTTGGCCTTGTTCGGTCATTGAACTAATGGTTAAAATCCTTTGCACTTTGTGCCATTTCGAAAATAAAACATATGGCTATCGAGAGGATCTAAAAAGCATGTGACCGAGAAGAAACCCAGGTTAATAAGAAATTAGTGCAGCTGAAAATCCTTTCGTTAACTTACTTATGTACGGTATATCTACAGGGTGGCCCAAAAGTAGCTTCACACTTCAAGTGAACATTTTGTTTGAATATTTAAATTCATTATTTTCAATGAAAATTCTAGATACGTTATAACAGATTTGAGGACATCGCTGAACCCTTAGCTTAAGATGCTACTCCTAAGTAAGCAGCAACAAATTTTAATAAAGTGTGGTGGATTGCATAAAATTGACTTTAACGTAATAAAGCTTTAAACCACTTTTAGCGGTGCTAATGGATGTTTAAAGCTTCATTACGCTTAAGTTAGTTTCATGCAATCCACCTGTTATTTTTACATCAATAAACTTTAGGATTTTAGTGTGAAGTTACTTATGGGCCACCCTGTATTTTCGAAATTGGTGTATCATCGAAGAATTCCATGTCACTATATCATTGAAATGGTTTGGATGCCAAGAAACTCGTGAGCAGCGGCTGCATCAGGGATGAGTGCATAGTGCTTATAAACGAGTGAATGAATTTCACCAGGGATTGGGGGGGCTGAACCCCCCCCCCCCCCCCCCCCCCCCCCCCCCCCTTGTCCTCCCTCAAAGCTCTGCCCATTCTGGCCTCACCGCGAGTGGCCAACCAATATCCCTGCATATTTACTCGTTTATAAGCACTATGCACTCATCCCTGATGCAGCCGCTGCTCACGAGTTTCTTGGCATCCAAACCATTTCAATGATATAGTGACATGGAATTCTTCGATGATACATTTTTAGTGGAATATTCCCGGGGTCACATCAAGCATTTCATCTACAACATGATTCAATATAATTGTACAACACTGCAACATAGTCAGTGCGATTCTGCGTCTATCACCCTTCCAGCCCGAAATAGAGTAAATTTGAACGAATTCGAGTGAATCCATTCGAGGTGATGGAGGCGGGGGGAGATGGGGTCCGCTTCGAAGGTTTCTCAGGGCATTCGTCGTCGTCGTCGCCTTTCTCCTCTGCGTCTCACAGGTGAGGCCGATTACAATCGCACCAATACCCATTTCGGTATTTCATCCACACTTGTGCAGTTGGCAACGAGTCCAATTAAAATGAAAATTTGAATAAGCTCAGAATCACAAGCTATGGCTTTGTTTTCATATTCATAGCTCGTATAAATAAAATTGAGAAAAAATAAATTGGAGTAATATCAAGAAGAAAGAAGTATAAATAAGTGTGCGGACGAAAGTAATTCGAACAAGATTTAAAAATATTAAATTAAAATGAAACGAAACAAACGACATGAAACGAAATGAAAAAGATAAAATGGAAGCCTTTTGAAGACGATGACCATGCTCTTTCGCTCGAAGGTGGTACAGCTGTTGCAGCGGTATCAGTCGAACCCAACGAACACGCTGTTGACGATCGAGGACGTGAACGAGGTGATCCCGCCGCTGGTGACGGTGTGCCCGTTCCCCGGATACAACGCGACCGTGCTGGGGGAGCTGGGGGTAGGGGCGGAGGAGATCAGCTGGGAGGGGGAGGAGGGGATCCTGGGGAGGAGGAACCTGTCGATGCTGGATATCTACAAGAGGGCGTCGATGGACGTGCTAGATCTCATGCGGGAGCTGTCCGTGTTTGCGATAGGGGCGGAGGGAGATGCTGTCGATTGTCGGAGGGTCGACCGGGTTCTGGACGGGTCTCGTGCATCGTATAGGAGTCCGTGTAAGGAGAGTCTCGTTTTTCTCCGAGAAAGGTTAGAGATATTGCTTGAAAAGGGAGAAGAAAAAAGATTCCGTTGCACGACCATGTCTTCCTCAAGCTAATTTCATTTCAGTGAGAGGCGTTGAGCTAGAAATGGGACATTCAGTTCATCGAAGTTAATATAAAGTAATAATAAGCAGAATTTATTCAATTTAAAAAGACGAGGGTCGGTACGAAAGCAATGCCTGCACATTTTTTTCTCGATAACCTTTCGAGCAAAAATTATGAAATTCGGCTGGAAAATAGACCAAGCCCTTTTATATATATGGCTACTTTTCCATGTAGTTCCCATCGCGTTCAACAGACTCTTCCGAGCCCTCAAGAAGGGCAAGTATGCCGTCTCTGTAAAACGGAGTAAAACTTTGTAAAAATAGCGACCGCTGTGTGGCTTGTCTTTTAAGTCGGTTTCTTCACTCCTTACCCTGTTTGCCCACCCTCTCATTGTGCTCACATTAATGGTAGAGGTCATATTTACGTCTTTCAGTCGCCCATGAATGTTTTCCCTCTGCAGTCAGTAATTCCATAACAATCTGCTTTGTACGCACATCAAGGGAATCAGCACTTTTGAAAGGGTGCAGTGGTGCTTCCAAGTGATACCCTTCCGGAAAACTGACGCAGCGAGGACGGCAAATATAAATCTAGAAAATTTTTCGGCGGTCTTCCATGCATGAGTCTGGAGAAAAAATATAAGAGGCATTACTTTCGTACCGACCCTCGTATAATGCGCTTCATCTAGTTTCACCCCACATTCCTCCACTTGACTCTTTCTTTGCTTGAATACTTTATTTTTCTTCATGTCTCTTGACCTTACTCACATTGATTACATTGTTTTTCTCTATTTAATTTTAATTTAGTTCACTCTTCCAGAAAATTTGTCATTTTGCTAGGTTTATAATTTCGAAGAGTATTCAATACGTGAATTCCACCAGGCAACGAAGGGAATGTTATATTCAAAATCCGAGATGTGACTGCATGTTCATCGAACATGTTTCCCCTCCGACTCGCAGCAACTTCCCCATCGACTAGAATAATAAATGTCTAATAAAGGTCCGATATACTGGCAAAAAAAAAATACCAACGACTTTTGACCTAAATACGAGTATCTGCCCTGTCTTGTTTCTCCCCTCATTTCATTCACCATTTTCGTGAAATGTTCACTTTGCATGTATGTATTAGTACGTTTCCAATCACTTGCGAAATCTCATCCTAATACGTTGAGCTGAAGCAAAACTATGAGCATATGTTGAAAAGAGCTTAGACACCGAACGGACAGGAGCTCCTTCTGGCCATGGAGAGAAGTGGAACAGGAGTGGAGCAGTGGAGTTGAGTGGAGGATACACTCCCCCGCGTCGGCGAAACCACGTACATGCTTCTCTACCACTTAACACAGTGATGAGCAATCTTTTTTGACTGCGGGCCGCAAGTGAACCTTTTAGGTTCCCGGCGGGCCGCATGTATTTTTTAAATACTGAATTACAGGCTATATGCCTGCTGAGCACCAAAATAATCCTAAGCCCGGCTTTGCAAAATAGTTGATGCTAATGATATGCAAAGAACTAATTTTGACAATTTTCTCATCATTTTACTGGGCAAAATACCAAGCAAGCCCAGCCTTTGTTAGCGTATCACTGCTCCGAGAGCAGTGATACACTGACAAAGAAGTAAGGGAGGGAATATTTGCAGCGGAAATATAGCATTTATGTTATATTTCTTGTTTACATATCTCCTGCAGTGGACAACGGAATCCTTGAGCGCACGTGCGCTCTACTCCGGGTGGCAGATGAGAGGGAAAAAAAATAAGTTGGCAAAGCCCCGTGGGCCGCGGGTTGCTCATCACTGGTCTAACACGTTGACTGCCACGGAAATGCTGGCCTATTGATTTTCCCATTCAGTGAGGCGCACCGGTGCGCCTCGTGGCGGTCAACCTGTTAAATTCATTCGTGGCTGTCTCTTGCAGATTGTTTTCACGAGCTTGTTCCCAATGAACATGATGATTCGATGAATATCATTCCAGAGAGTTCTCTCAACCTTTTTATCCTAGAAGCGGCAACTGTCGATCAATCCACAGTTTACCCGTCGCTGTGGCGGCACAATCCATTTTCCTTCTCGAATTTCTTCATTTAGTTCTTCTAATCTGCTAACAGATGGCATGACATGCTATTTGAGATCCTAGACATCCACAGCAACCGTTTATTCACTTTCATCCATAGTTGCAATAAAATTTAAAAAAAATACTACCAGCACCTTGCCGCTTCTAAGGTTAAAATTTTCTTTCCTTTAGGTTAGCCTACGTTTGCACGGTACGACTAGCATTTCAATAGTTACACGAGTAGAATATGGAAGTCATATCACACCGAATTTGCTGAGGATATAGCATATTTTCACTTATTTGAAAGCCAACAAGGCTTCAAAACTCGATTAATTCAGATCAAAGTTATAAATTACATTATATGACAAGTCTAACGTTTTATATTCCCTAGAAGTTCTAAAAGTTCCCTAAACGAAAAAAAAAGAAAATTCCGAATGAACTTCAAGAAAACTCTGTGAAAAGGTATTCCTTGATTCTTGTGTTTTTCTCCATGAATGAATTCAAACGGAAGAGGAGTTGGACACGGTCTCGACGACCGGAAGGGACAGCGCGGGAGTGCACCCTCCTCTCCTCCTCTCCTCCTCTCCTCCTCTCCTCCTCTCCTCCTCTCCTCCTCTCCTCCTCTCCTCCTCTCCTCCTCTCCTCTCCTCTCCTCCTTTCTTCCACTCCTTCACTCCTCTCCACAACCAACAGAAGCTCCGGTCCGTTCTCAATGTTTAATTTATTTTCTATTATTGCTCATAGTATTGCTTTGATGAATTTTTAAATATCAGTTGGAAACACGCATATATGCAAAGGGAAAGTTCCGCGAAAATAGCTTTTTAATCTTGTCTTAAAGCGTTGCATTTGGGAGAAATTGGAACGTATGTTGGAAACATGTCCATCAGTGAGTTTCACTGTAATACTTCCACCAGAAAGGTAAGAATATTGGTTAAAACCGTTGGATATTTTTCAATTTCATAAAATAATGTTTTGGTAGAAATCTCCCGCTATGTCGATAAAATTCATTCGGCTGTGGCTTGTGCCTTCGAGATGAAAGGTTTATAAGTTTTATTCGACCGAGAAGCTGCCAATCGGAGGGGGTAAATTCAAATTCAGATGAAGGAAGTTACTGTCGACAGGCGGAAACTGGACGGAGAAGATGTTCGCGACGGCCGAGACGGGCCCGAGATTCTGCCGCTGCATCTCCTTCGGATTTTCCGTCGCCGTCCTCGTCGGGGTCTCGTCCGGACGGGTCCGGTTCGTCTTCGACCTCCCCGCCGGGAACGTCACCATGCTCAAGGTCGGCCGCGTCGCATGGTCAAACGGATAATCGGCGACTCAGTCGATTTCGCGGTTGATTTAAGTAGTGTCAGAAATGGAAAAACCCCTCTTGAATGGATTCGTTGCGTTTCGAGATTAAAAACCATAAAAATTAAAAAGGAATAGAAATTAAAAGTATAACAGAAATTTAAAATAACCATGAACTATGAATGATGCAAACTCAGCACTCCTCTCAGTAAACAGATGTTTGAAGTTGCGTTGTATATTGATGAACCCGATTAGGTTATTCCATGGGTTGGGTTTATGGCTTACGAGCCGAAAAGTTGGGCTCATGAGTCATGGCTAAAAATCATGGTAGTTTCTCATTTTCCTATTGCACGTGTCTGTGTCCAACTTCGGGAAAAATTCTGTTTTGGAAATCTTTGGCTCATGAGCACTTAGCTCAATCTTAATATGGCTCACATGGTCAAAAAGGTTCCCGACCCCTGAGTTATTCCTTGGGAAGAAAGGAACCGATCTACAAAAGCATCTCTCAACTTCAATCAACTTCAGACCAACATCCGGCCAAGAGTTATGAGGTTTGAGGTCCCAAGCAGTTCATCTTATCACGAGTAAACGTCCCAGATGTTAAAATAAACGGGTCATCGTTCCCGGGAACGAAAATAATTTAGGAAAATAAAGAAATGAGAAAAAAAACTCAGGTCGAACGATGAAATCTGATCATCGTTCAGCCGAGCACGTTAAGTCGAGTGCAATCGCGTTAAGCCGTGCTGGAATCCAACCGGAATTGAAGCATTCCAGTTCTGCGGTATTACAGAGACGATTACTCGATGGAATTGAACGGGGAACCCAAAACCTTTCACTTTCTCCTGGATTTTTTTAAGTTACAAGCAGAAAGGCATTACTTCTCCTCCATACAAAACTAATCAGGAAAACAGCCCAGTCTGCACAACAATATTGATGCAATGTTGTCAGAGCATGGAAGTTTCATCATCTCTCACGTCGAGTCCATGTTGAATTTTGGCGGGCCTCAACATTCCCCCAACCTAGGGAGGGGGGGGGGCTGGGGAGGAAGGGGGTTACCTCTTTCCTCGAATGCATCCAGGAATTCCAATTCCTTCCCAGGTGTCATAGGTACCGTTCCAAAAGTACTGGGACTCGTTCCTATTGCATATTAAAGGTAACTCGCTGTGTTTGCATTTGTCACCATCTCACTTCGGGATGAGGAAACATTGCTTCTTCGAATAACTGCCAGATGTCTCGCCATACTGTTGATGAAACGCCGACCGGCAATCGAGTATTCAATTGATTCTGACCGAGATTTCAATTTTTGTGCTATGCTGATATTTTCAACATGGAGTCAATATTATTGTGCAGACTGGGAGTGGTTTAACACACAGTATTTTCCGTTGAGAGCCGGGGGGACATTTGTTTCCATGCACCTAAGACTTACGTTGACTACTCACAAATTGCGCGTAGTCCATGCCTTCAGGAGCATTCCTTTCTCACTCTTCTTGGATGCGATATCGTTCCGGCTCGAGCTTGAGCGATCGTGCAAGCAAAATCTTGCGATAAATTCGTTTCCCTTTCCTCATAAGTCTCTTTGGGATATCTCCGCTGGATAGCATTTTCACAATGTTCGATTAATACTCGTTGTGAAAAACGCGTTCCGGCATTCCTCGACTCAACCATTGCAGATCAAACGTCCTCAAATTCCACATTTACTTCCCAGCAACGTCTATTTTTAATATCACCAACATCCGATCTTTCGCATCCTCACTTAAATAGAAAACTTTTGTCTATGGGTTGCAGGTGTTTCTGGACGACGCGGCGCTGGGCTCGAGCGACTTCCTTCGGATCTCCCGGGGACGGGCCCTGGAGGTCTACCCGGAGTCCAACGTCGCGGTGAGCGTCTGCCACAAGAACATTCACTTCTTGAACAGACCGGAGACTTCCTGCAATTCCACGCCTCGCTACAACCAACAGAGGGTTTGTTTGTTCGCGGACTCTTCTACGGAAGGAAATTCAAGGTATTGTATATCCTGGGTAGATAAGGCACTCGGGAAGTTTCCGAATGCGACTTCATGGAAAGGGTCACACATGAAAGCTTTTCTGCACCTTTAGCTCCACGTGATACGAGACTGCGCAGATGTTCAAATAAATACTTTTTAAGGAATTTAATTTGTCGCATTTGAAACCCTGCATGCCTGCAGGTTTTTATTTGACCCAGTCATAATTGTTTTGTGCGAGCTTCATCTGTCATTGCTCACCACTCCCTTCAAATTTCAGGAAACCAGAATAACGCAAGGCTGGATCACAGGACACCACCCGAAAATGCACCTTACAACCTGGCGATGCTCTGCCCTTGCGTTAAGCCGCACTGGAAATCACAAACGTTCTCGTGGCTTAGTTCCATTGCCAGAGAAAAAAGTTTGCAGATATGCAGGGTATAATACTGCATAAATAAAATTCCCGACGAGGGATAAAATTGACAAATTGCACACAGACTCATCAAGTGGAGTTGGAATTGTAGAATCTCCTTCATGTGCCATCATTTCCACGAAGTCACGTCCGGAAACTTTCTGTGTGCCCCATGTATATCCTGGGTATATCCCATGAATATTCCCAGTTAATCTAAGATGAATTTTTGACTATGCCTTTGCTGCAATAAATGACGAGACCAGAAATGAAGTCAAGAGAAAATACGTCAATTTGAAATTAGATTAACTTTACATGACTTATATTCTGAAACCAATAGATAAAAATCATCGTTCGATGATTGACAAATTAAACGCAACATGATTAAAAATAAAAGGAAAGTGGTTTGACCAGAGCATCTATCATGCACATCATGTAGGCGAACGATGCTGATTATTAAAATAGTTAAATGATTATTAAAGGAAAAAAGAATATTAAAAGATGATGATGAATTCTCCTTTCAGTGCCTCCACGAATGCGTGGAGAAAATTCTGGTGGAGAAGGTGGGTTGCGTCGTCCCGGAACTCCTGAATAACCCGCAACCGGGCTACCCGCCTCCGTGCCGGACGAAGGCGGAAGTGCACCGGTTCGTCGCGGAATACGCCGGCGTGAGGCGGAGGAAGCTGCCCCTGCGGGACCTCGGTTGTAGCTGCAAGAAGGCGTGCCAGAGGAAGGAGTACCAGGTGGGGGTGAGGAGTCATACGCCGAGGGGGCCCGAGGACGGACGAGGGTCGTCGCTCGTCCTCCACTTTCCCTGTCGAGGGGTATAAGAGTTTTTCTTCAGATCCTGGTCGCGTCGATTCATGCCGTTTGCTTGGTGCAAAATAGCGCCCTGTTTCAGGCCTTGTAAAAGCTACTGTAGAAATGCAACTCTTTGTCTAGTTTTTGTATCACGCAGAAAGCACTGTAAGATTAGGTTCCTGAAAGTTTTGAAATCTTTTGTTTCAGTAAAGAGCAACAGTAGTTGAAAATTGGATGAGAAATTTCTGCTTTTCCACGTAGCGTGAGGCAGCGGTTTTAGCAGTGCTCTACAGATGTGCCCCGTTTCCCTGCTTCTTATGGCTGCATTCTGATTGCAATGTGCTTGACAGTGCAGTGTGATCACGTCGTATCTATCAGAGGAAAAGTCACGGAGTTAAATGGGTGTGTTACAGGAATTAGAGAGGCTCCACGATTTATGAAGAAACTCTCGCTAATCTCTTTCTTCTGCTGTTTATACGCTCCCTGGAAAAAATAGTGACCTGACTCCAGTTTCACTCACCTTTTCTTCGTTTTCCCTCACTATTTTTACTCTGTAAGAACAAAAAAGAATAAAAATTCCTCTCTTTTCATTCTCATCAAAGCAAAAATGGGAGTGAAACTGGAGTTGACTGTGAAGAGTGCATGGCATAAGAAGCAGACTTCATGGCGTCAAAGGAGAGAAATCTTAAATCTTTTGAGCAGTGCGGAAATTGCATCCACCTTGTGCGAGGAAAATAACGTTTCACAACTTTGAACTACGGTCGCTTTTACCCAGACAACCTAGACACTAGAAACTTAAATAGAAAAGAAAATAAAAAATTTTAACGTTTTCACTCTAATGGATGAAAATTATCTACCAAGAATCCCCACAGTCGGTTTCACAAGGCGTCAAATGGGACGCGTCGTTACGCGCCACTCCATGTTTTTTTCGTTTCCCTAAGAAAGAAACACCTTGGTGAGGAAAAATAATTTATTATTCCAGGTGAAGAGAAATTTTGACTCGCAAATTCGTCTAACCACCATTCCCGTCTTTGAGCAGAAATTTCAGTTTTTTCTGTGAAGAACTCCAATGTACCTTGAGAAACGAACGTCTCGAAGAACGAAACGACTTCATTACTTTATATCGTTTGATGGAAGAACGAAGCTTCCATGGGTTTTCTTGCTCGATGCTTTAATGTTTTTCGTGCGATGGCTCCGATCAGCAATGCCACTAAATCGCAAGGAGGGAATGGAGGCTTCTAGAAATAATATTCTATCCTTGTTAACAGCTTCTTTTTCATCGGTTAGCAAATCGAAACGATCTCGAGCTCGGTTTCAATAAATATAACTTTAAAATGCGAGTCCTATGTCATGAACCTCTTCCATTCGATGGAAAACCAAAGGAAGATCAATATCGATGTGTGTCAATTCGTGGGATGTTTCGCAAAAGGTGGAGACATACATGGAACAGCCGTCGACGAACCTGTTGGAAATGCTGTCCGAGATGGGCGGATTCGTTGGGATGTGCCTGGGAATCTCCCTCATCTCCGCCTTCGACCTCATCGAGTGCGCCTTCCGCTTCCTCTTCCGGAGAAACAGCTGATCAGCACGCGTCGAGCACGTTGTCGAGTCTGCTTGCCCTATCTGCGCTCGACTGAGAGCTACCATACTGCACCAAAACATCTAGATTCTTTGAAAGATATCCAAATATTTGTAAATAATCAGTAATATACATATAATAATATATCGCAATAAAATAATGATGCCTTATGGATAGATTCATGTATTTTTCATCTTTTCAAAGAGTCGATTCACATGAAAATGCTATGATATACCTATCGAAAGACTGGAGACGGGATCCAGTTGGCCTTTTCCGTCGAAATATGTCAGAAATGTCAGAAATATGTGGGAGGGGGGAATCGTCTACGATATGCTATAAATATAACACCGCACTTCGATTCAGGTTCCTGCAATCGTGGTTCTGATCCGAGAACGCAGGGAGAGTTACAACATGACTTTCGTCGTGTTGTAACTATAACTCGAAGGACCACCACCGAGTTATATCCGCGAAGTTCGGGGGTCAGTGCCTCGCTTGATAGCTCTCCATCACGCTCACGTGATGGAGAGCAGGGGTTCGAAATCTAACCAAATCTGGCATTTTCATTCCCGATATAGACACCGGACATGGTGAATGGTTTGGAATGAGACATTGAATCGATGTTGATAAGGTGTGGATTGAATGTATCACTGTTGACAGTTACATCCATGTTACATCAACATTGATTCAACGCGGTGACCGTCACCGTTTATTCATCCACATAGGGCCAACATTCATTAATGCTCACCATTCTCGGTCGAAGTATCTGCAGTAAATGTTTTTTTTTTCAATGCTTACTCTATCAGTGTTTGCGTCATCAGGTGTTTTCGATCTATTAGGAAGTATTTCTTTCAAGAGGACCGTTTGATTTAGAGCAAATAAGACAGTGGCTGAAAGACACTCGAATTTCGTCGCATCAAACTTGCAGAATGGCATTTTCGGTTCGCATAACTAAGAGCAAGGATTCAAAACCCTACTGTGTCTGACCTATTTCCCAAAATAAGCACCGCCGTGTTTGGGATAGACGATCAAGGGCTCAGTGAAGGAGAAATGAAGTGACGACGCCTGCTAGATGTATTCTAATTAAGCTCGAACTTAAGACTTAAGACTTAGGCCCGAATGCTGAAACCTCCTTTATGAATAATGAGCTCCAATGGGGGATATAGAGCTCTTAAGCTTAAAGGCCTCTTTACCTCCCTTAAATGAGGTTCACACATTCGGACCTGATTGTTTTAACCCCTAATCCCGCACCTGTAATGGACTTCCATTTCTAACACTATTAATTCAGAATTTCCTACAAATTTGATGTCCTTCATTAAGGAGTTTGCAATGTTTGCTTGCAATGTTTGCTTGCAATGTCTTCAAATCTTTTTCCTTTCAGGTGAAATTCAATCTTGGGGAACAGGAAAAAGTCACACGGAGTCAGATACTGTGAATAGGGAGGGTGGGGCAACGCAGGAATTTTTTTAAAGCCAAAAACTCTCGAATTGTGAGAGCAGTGTGGGCTGGAACATCATCGTGATGCAAAAACCAGGCTTCATTTTGGAAAAGTTGGGGTCGTTTTCTCCTAATTTTTTCACGCAGACGGGTCAAAGCATCTTTGTAGTAAGCCTGGTTAACTGTCTAGCCTTGCGGGTCAAACTCATGATGCATCAAGGTCATGATGCATGATCGAAAATTCGACGAAGGGCACAGAGACGACCGGATTTCAACACTCGTGATTCGCGACTGGTTAATCCTAGCGCAAAGGAGGTTTCAACATGTGTGCGGTTACCTCCCCACTCCCACCTACACAAATCCTAGCCCACTACCTAAAGCGGTTCATGTTTTAACAAGAACGTACTGGAACTTTTTGATCAGACCTCGTATTTAGGTACGAAAAGCAATTCTTAATGTTTTGATTTTCTTTGAAGGAAAAAAAAACAAGCGATGGGATCCAATGGATTTTTGCTTTTGTGATGCGTCTTTTGTCGCAATATACCTTGTCTGGATATGGGTTAAAGTAAGAATTGCATTCCTTAGTTCGCGAATATCACTTGAAAAACGCTTTTCTTTCTAATGCCAAATTCGGGCTAGTGGTCTTTTCTGATCATGGCTCGGATGGACTACTTCAATCCATCGCGAATGGAAAATCTCTCATATATACTCCAGAGAATTCGGTCCTATTGTACGATAAGGTTCCATTCAAGTGATGATATTCGATACCGATATAGGAAATGGCTGCTGAAACCATACCTGCTTTGCTTATTAGTAATGCAGAAGTTTTGTTCTGGGACGGTCTTGATGGTGTATGGTCATCATGTACAGTGTTTCCCATTTGAATCCTTTTTTTTTGTATTGCTGCGTAACATGACTACCTGAGTATTGTTAATCCCTTTTGACACGTATCGAAGTACTATAGGTTATCCAAAGAAAGGACAGTCTCACGTGAAACAACTTCACCACGTCAGCATTGCTTATGTTAATTAAAACGATGCTTCAGTATGACATCAATGCTTTAACATTGATTTAATGCTGACTCGATGTTGAAAAGAGGAATATTGCGAGAACGTTGTCCGGTCAACGTTACATCAACAGATGTCAGGCGAGACATCTGGCGAGACATCTGACGAGACATCTGGCGAGACATCTGGCGAGACATCTGGCGAGACATGCGAACTAACAAGATTTCCTGACGGCGAAGTGAGATGGCGACTACTTGCCAACAGGGGGAGTTACCTTATACAGTATAAGCAATCAGTACTCCTCTCTAGTACTTTTGGAGAAGTACTTGATATTTTCTCCGCAAACGACGTCGGAGAAGGGAAGGAAGACTTCCTTGATGTATTCGACCGAAGTTGCAACCCAATCGAACAGGATCCGGGATAATTCTGAACAATTATGAACACAAGAAAGTTAGCAAGGTCATGTAACACCATGAGATCGCATTGCCCTGACTCCCAGGATGAATCTCATGCTCGCCGCCGAAGAATACGTGGAGTGCCGAGTAGCCTATTATTACTACACAGTAATCACTCCGGTGTCCTCCTGCTTCTGGGGGAACAGGATGTCTCTTTCTCATCTTGGTATAAAGTTCGCGTTGACCTTGGAGGGGGGGGATCTTTAAAAAGCGAATTCGGAGGATGACGATCGCGTCTAGATGATATTTAAATTATACTTCAGTAATAAAACGGCGCACGCGCACGAATAAACAGATTGTTGAGACCTGAGTCATATCAACCATAGTTATTAAGCATTTCTGGGTCATTTCCTTCTTTTTTGCCTTCCTTTCTGGAAAAATAGGGGGGCACGTGCCCCCCACCCCCTCGACGCTGGTGTTGGAGCATCTTCCCCGTTCATTTTCTAACAGATACATGTGATAAATCAGATAGGAAAAATAATGAAAAGTATACCACAGGCCAAAATAAACTCTGACCTCCAAATCTTTTTGAAGAGAATGTTTCATGAGAGAGC